GCGGGGGGGGGAGGCCAGCGGCTCCGGCGGCAGCTCCGGCGATGGCTTTAACAGCTCCGGCCTGGCCCATTTGGCTCTCTGCCCCCGCACAGCCCGGCTCACCCTCCTCTGCCTGCCCCGGCTGGGCAGCCTCAGCCCCAGATACGTGGAGCAGGATTCGGCCCCGCTAAGGGGAGACGTTCCCTACAAGATGCCCACCCTCCTGGGGGTCCCTGAACGCTGGGGGACAAATGGCTGACAGCGACCCCATCCAGTGGCACACTGCCCCATGGAAAGGTGCAGGACCAGCATCCAGCTCAATTTGGAGGGGCTCTGGGACATCTCCCCCTCCCCCCCCAACTTTTGCCACGCAGGGAGTCAGTCTGTGCCGTGACCTCCCATCCCTGGAGGGGGTGGGATGCTCATCCCGCTCCCCACCCCGGCCAGCCCTGCCCTGCACACGGGGCTGAGCTGCAGGGGAGCTCCACGCCAGAACCATGACTCAGGTGGGGATTTAGCAGGTCTCCCGCAGATGTTGGATTTGGCCAGGCCCCGGCCATCCCCCTTACAGTCCCGACAAAAAGTGGGGGCGGCCAGGGCTGGCCTGCGGTGGGGACAGGGATGGTACAGAGATGGGAGGCAGGGAGGGGGACCGGACACTGGGTGCAGCAGGACCAGCCAGAGTGTGTCCAAGGGATGGCCGGTACAGGGAGGTGCTGGGTCAGGGGGGCACACGCAGCCCTTTTGGGTTATCTTGCACCACGCCAGGATGGCAGACCCCTGTGTCCCTCCACCATGTTGACACACGCAGACCCTGGGGACGACCTCTCCACCGGCTCTGTGCCAATCCCAGCACCCTGTTCTCCATCAGCGGTGATTTTCTCAGCAAAACCAAACCAGGTCATAGATGTTTCCCATCCAGCTTTGCCCACCTGCCTTCTGCAATACCCCAAAAATTTCTCTGCAGAGAGCCTCCAACCAGCTGCAAACTCAGCAGTGCTGCATCCAGCTGCAGGTCTCCTCCTGCCTCCCTGGAGCCAGCCTGGTCCCCAAGGAGAGGCACCACAGTGCTGGCAAAGCATCTTTCATCCACCCAGGATAAGGGACATCTGAACCCCCAAAACAGCCAAAAGACAAAGCACACCATGACCACCCTTCAGCCTCCAAACACTCTCTCAGCCAACTGATGGCTATGGAGACCACAGTAGGAACCCGACACGCAGCCAGCACCAACCCCAAAGCCCCTTCAAGGAGGAGAAAGGAGAGCAGGCGAAGCCATGAGCCTCTTGGGGACACCACTCGCCTCCCCCACGCCGCACAAGGATGGATGACAGGCAGCAGGAGGGGTCCACAGGGGTATCCCAGTGCACCCCGCTCTAAGGACCACGGGGCAGCCCGATTCCAGCAGGCAGGAGGGACCCTGCCTGGGTAAGGCAGGAGGGTGAGCTCAACGATGGGACCAGCCTGTGCTGTGGGGGCGGTTTGCGGAGCAGCCCCCAGCTGCTGGACCCAGCAAGATGTGGGGGTTCAGATCCCCCTCTCATGCCCCCTGCCCTGGGCAAGCTTGGTCAGCTGTCAACCCAGCTGCGACTCAGTTTCCCCTTCCCCAAACCCCCAGGGATAAGCACAGCAGAGGCAAGGGTAACACCAGGACAGGCACCATTCCCAGCCATCCACCTGCCCCCTCCAGGTTTGGGGTCTCACAGGGTCACCCCCACCTTGTCAGGGACCCCTTCCCCGGCCCATATGGGTGCCCCATGCTGAGCCAAAGCTGCTGGAGAAACCTCCAGCAAAAGCAGCTGCGGCCGGCAGAGACGCGGCGCGAGGGGGACCCACCGTTTGGCAGGCGATCCCGATCCCGTCGGCCCGGGCTGCGGCACCGGTCTGCAGCGAGCCTTCGCCAAGCAGTGGGGACGGACAGTGGCAGCGACACGGAGCGGCAGCTGATCCCACCCCGGCGCGGGTCCCCGTGCCAGCCTCACCCTCCTCCGCCCCCGGCCGCCGCTCGCTCGCGCCTGGTGGTGCCAAAAATGTGGCGTGCAATTCCCTGACCAAATAAGGCGAGAACAACCATAAACAGGGACCCCCCCTGGCACAGACGGGCACCGGGGTCCTCATCCTGCCCTGGGACGGGTTGGAGAAGAGGAAAAGTGCCCACAGAGAGGGAGGAAGATGGGAGCCCTCCGAGCCCACGCCGGCTCTCCCCGCCGCTGCTCAAGGTGCCCCCTGGGGGAGCCGGAGGGAGATCCCCTATAGATGGGCTGTCTCGCAGCTGCCTGAGCTGGAACGGGTTGGAGAGCAGCCTCCTGCCTACGGCTTTTCCCCCTCGGGGGGCCCGCTCATCCCCAAACCTGGGAAGTGTTTGCAAATCCAGGGTGCCCTTGTTCCCCATCACCACTCTCCCTGCAGAGTGGACAGCCCGATCGGCACACAGAGGGACCTCCACAGCCCCGACACCCACCGAGACCCCCCATGAGGGATCGGAGAGGAACCCTGGGGTACCTCTGCAGCCCTGCGAGGGGCTGGGAGCACTGTGGCTCTGCCCCAGGGGCCAGAGGGAAACACACGTGCACCGAGGCACTCGGGTCTCTGCAGGCAGGAGGGGGCTGTCAGCCAGTCCCACCAGCTCGGGGTAGGGGCAGAGCCACGGTCTGAGCCCATGGTGGGGACCAACACTCCCTCCCCCCGTGGCCAGACCGACAGCCGCATAGCTGAGCCCGTGTGTCACGAGTTGCCTGTTTACTGACCTGTGCCAAGGCAGGTGCCTGTGCCAGCTCCGTGCGGCCACCCCGGCTCTGGCCCCACATCCCCACCATGGGCAGGGACCCCTATGCTCACGCCAGGAACCCACAATCCCTACCCTCCCCAGCAAGCCCAGCTGCCCACAGCTCCTGCTCAGAGCAGCCAGTGACCTTCAGGGACATCAGGAACCGCAGCTGTCCCCACTCCAGGGACGCCTGTCCGGACCAGGCCAGGAAAGCTCAGGCATCTGCTCAGCCACAGGTGGCTTTGCTGCCAGGACAGGGGCCCACCACCCTTCGACATACAAGTCCTGCCTGTTCCTGCCAAACGGGCAAGGGCAGCCGACTCGCCACATCCAGGCAGGTGCTCAAGGAGCTTTTCCCAGCTCCAAGCCATCGTGTGGACCCTCCAGGGCCAGTGAGGTGTTCCAGTCCCCCAGGGAAAACTGAGGTACGGCTACATCCCACCATGCTTGCACTGAGAGCAAGGAGCTGGGAGACCTAATGGTCCCCGCCGTTATGTCCTGCTCCCGAAAGACTTGGGGTTTGGGTTTCCCCAAGCTCTGGGGTGTGAACCAGGGCTGGACCCTGCTCCATGCAAACAGGGCCTTGAGAGCAAAAGTGCCAAAAAAAGAGCCTGAGCTCCCTGGCACCACAGGAGAAGGAAAAGTCCACGATATCTTTCTTTCCCAACCCACGGCCACGCTCCTCTAGCAGCGGCCACCTTCCCCCAGCTCTGCTGCCCACTGGTGTCCCCTTCCCCAAGGTGATGGGAATTCCCCTGGGGACACTTTGGCCACCGACCGCCCTCTGAGCCCTAACCTTTCTCCAGGTGCTTGCCGGGCAGGGGCGGCTCAGCCCAGGTGCCTTCCGTGCTGTCCTCACGCTGGATGTTGAAGTTCTCATAGGAATCCCACCGGATGAGCGGGTCAGACGTGTTGTAGTCCACGGAGACGCTGGGCCCGTTCTCAAGGTGCTCCATGCCTGGGAAGAGGCAGGAAGGTCAGTCGAGGTGACGATGGAGCCAGCACAGGTGGGATGGAGGGAGGAGATGGTGAGAAGGCGCAGGCAAGGCAAAAAGGGCAGGAGCCGCAGGACAAGGTAGGAGAGTCACATAGAAATGGGGACACTGAGAGGGATGGATGAGCATGGGAGGTCACCAAGACACACAAACAAGGTGTACAAGGCTGGCTGGGATTGCCTAGGGACAGGCAGACGGACTGACAGCGAGCATGCCTAGGTATGGACTTTTGGGGTGGGTGGCCCTCCATTCCCAAGCACCCTCTCCCTCTCTCCTGGGTCAGCAAGTGCTGCAGAAAGTGGCCTCCTGGAGAGGAGAGCGAGGTCAACAGGGCACCCATGGGTGCTCCAAGATCAACACCACTGCCTGGACCCCTCATCCCACGCTGGTGACAAAGGGACTGCAAACGGGGCACGGGGATGTTGCAAAGGATGCAGCAGGTGATAGAACTAAGGAGCAAGAAAGGAGCCAGCACCCAGCTCCTAAGCCCCAAAGTGGTGAGTCAGCCATACCTTGGATCTTCTCAGGGCCATAGGAGAACACGAACTCCACCTTCCCATACTCAGGGAAACGGTCATCTGGCAGGGAGAGAGCAGAGCAAAGGGACCATCTGCATCCATCCCTCCAACAGCACCCAGATGGTCACCCCAAACATGCTCGGAGGGCAGGGCACCTGCCCTGGCCAGCGCACGGATGAAAGCTGGTAGGGGATATCCCGGCATGGGGCAGCACATCTCAACTCCCAGCCAACCATGGATGGAGCAGGGGTGCCCTGCTTCATCAGGGGTGGATTTGGGGTGGGTGCTCAGACTTCCCAGACATGGAAGCGGCATCAGAGAGGTGGGAGAAGGAGGGAGTTTGGGCAGGGGGTTGCTGGGGCGGTTACCTCTGAAGGCCTCATCCAGGTCCTCCTTGCCAAAGACGACATCGAGGTCATGCACAGCGCACGTGTGGAACTGCACACGGAAAATCACATCACGGGTTGGGCTGCGAAACTTCTTGTGGTAACACTTCAGCTGCAGAACGGAGTGGGAACCGACCATCAGGATGAGCCCCCAGGGCTGGGCAAGGGGGAACTGGGGGGTCCTGAGGCACAAGGACCACCCGTTCCCCAGCTGCTCCCTCTGTGGAGGGCTAAGCCAAGGCTCCTTACCAAGATATCGCCCTTGAGGAGCAAGCCAGGCTCGATGGTGATGCAGATGCCTGTCTGGCTGTCTCCTTGCACATTACTGCAGAGAGGGACAGCGGGAGGACATGAGCTGCGGTGCAGAGCTCCACCAGACATCCCAGCGCCGCCTCCACCAGCGTCCTCCACCCAAACCCAGCCAGGAAAGGTGCAAAGCACTGAGCTGGCCCTCCAGGTGACAAAGGAGGGCCCCATCCCCCACGCCAAAGGGCACCCATTCCCAGGGGGAGGCAGACAGGAGGGGGAAACTGAAGCACAGCTCAATGAGGATGCTCAAAATCCTGGGTGGGAAGGTTCGACCAGGGCCTGAGTGCTGGGGCTGGGCTATCGGTCTGCCCACCCTGCTCCTGTGGGTCGAGCGGAGCACAGCACACGGAGGGAGAGCTCTCAGGGATGGTTCTCCTCACTGCCTCAGTTTCCCTGACGGAAGCCCTCCCCTCCCGGGGGCGCCGGGAGGGCTGTCCCCGGGTGGTGGCGTCAGCAGCGGGGGATGAGGGAAGAAGGGAGTTGGATTTCACAGGCAAGATAAACCTGGAGTTTATTACCGGCATCCCATAAACAGTCTATTAAAAGCTGAAAGGAGAGGCTGGGATGGCAGTAAATCTCAGCTAATGGGGACGCCCAGCTGCGGGGAAGGGAGATTCCGATTCAGGGGGGTAAGATGGGAACGCCTCTAAGGTGAGGGGCTCTGCTCCTTCCCTGGGGGGGGCGGGGGGGGCAGGAGCCGGGGGTCCCAGCCTGGGATGTGGCCCCGGCAGAGCATCGGGGCAGCTGGAGAAATCTGCTCCTTCTTTGCCTTTGCCAACGCCTGCTCTGGGAACAGCGTCGGAAAAATGTCGGGGTAAATCACAGGGAGGTTAAAATGGGGGGAAACTCTTTACTGGGGAAAGAAAGAGGGCTTTTAGGGCGATTCTGGACCAGAGGAGCAGCTCTTTGGGCAGGGAGAGGAGAAACGCCTCACTCCCCCAGGGAGGGTCAGGTGTCCCCATCCCTGTCCCCGCTCCCTCCAGGGACACCCAGCCCCAGGCTCTGCGCAGCCCCAGGCTCCCTCTGCTGATACGCAGAGTCACTACAGCCCTTCCAGCAGAAGGGCCCAGTATGGCCCAGTACAGCCAGTTACCACCTCCAAGAAAAAGGAATTCCCTTTTTTTGGTTCCCTGGACCACAAATAGATTTAAGCGCAGGGCACCAGGACCGCTGGGGACACGGCCTTGACCCTCTCCATCTCCCCCGGCTTGCCAAGCCCCCCCGTGTTGGGAAGGAGGGAACCCCCCTTAGCCCCACGGTGAAGAGATAGTTACTAGATCCCAGAGGTGTAGACGGGCTGCATGGCCTGGTAGATTTTCAGGAAGGGCCGACAACCTGGAAGACATCAAGGCGGGGAGAGAAGGCGCGCTGCTGTTAGCCGGCAGGGCGGAGGGGCCAGGGCAGGGATTAGTCACGGGGGAGAAATCCAAACAGGGAGGAAGCCAAGGCAAACAGCCGCTCCCCGCCCCAGACAACCCGCACCGGCCATGGGCAACATCTGGGATGGGTAGAAAGGGATGCTCCAGATGGGGTGGAAGAGGGGGAAAGCCCCTATAGCCCAGTTTGGGTCCTGTAGGACCTGGGGCAAGCGCTGGGCTAGGGATGGAGATGGGATGACGGTCTTTGAGAGAGGGACTGCTTCTGGGTACCGGCATCAAGCCGCTAGTACATCCCAAACCCCAACCCCAATCTGATGCCATTCTCCCAAAAGCTGTCAGAAAAGCCTTGTCACCCCACAGCTCAGGTTAGTGCCCAGCACACGGGGGGCAGCCCCCGAGAGCATCTCTGCGGGAAAAAGGCAGCATCCTGCTAATAGGAGTGAACAGTCCCTAAGAGGAAAAGGGAAATTCAAATTGCCAAGGAAATTGTGGAAAATATCCCCCCTGGAGAGCAAGCCCAGCCAGGCAGCATGGGGCCATGGTGTGTGCGTGGGGGCCGGACTCGGGGGAGCCATGGGGGCACCTACCGCCTTTCGACTCGAAGTTGGGGATGCCGTGCATGATGACATGGTGGAGGAAGAGGGGCTTGTTGTTCATCTTGATGCTGCCAGACAGGAGCCCGCTGAAGTAATGGATGTACCTACAGGGGGGACAGGCAGGTCACGGGCAGGACCCACAGCAGACCACCCCCCTTGGCCCTCCTCCACCCAACCACCAGAGCCACAGGGGCAAAACGCACGCCAGGACCCACCTCTTCTGGGATGGCTGCCCCACTGGCACTACCTTGTCCTCATAGAAGCGCTTCATGGCAAACCTGTCCAGAGCCTGGTCGGCACTGTGGGGACAAAAGAGTAGCTGAGGTTGAAGAAACGCATTGGCACCAGCACCCCACAACCACCAGGATGGAGGTCAGCAGTGGGGCCCAGAGCCACCCCAGGACCACATGTCCCTCTCACCTGGCTGAGATGTTGCTGTAGTGCATGTAGGCAGCCACCACCACCCCCAGCCGGCCACGGTTCCCCTGTGGGCACACAGCAGAAGAGGTGTCATGGAGGCGGTGGTGCCTGTGAGCATCCAGGTACGGCCACCCCACACATAGGCACCCCACACATAGGCACCCCACACACACCGGTCCCTATATGCATGCGCCAACCTACATGCACACCCCAACCCTTATAGACACACAAATCTACACACATATACTGACACATACCCACAGCCCAAGCCACAAACCACCACGTTCCCCACATCCCTCGGCCTCCGAGGCTGCCCAGCCCTGTCCTTGAAGCCCCCTGGCCCCCAAGCCTCCCATCACTGTGCGCCCCAGGGAGAGGGTCCGGCCAACCTTGTTGTGCAGCACCACCACGTTGTGCGCCCCCGCGTTGAGCCACGTGTCCATGGCTTTGCAGATGCTGCAGATCTTCTCCAGCGCTGGGGTGTGCAGGTCAGGCCACCCGAAATCCAGCACCTGGCAGGGGGGGACGGACAACAGCCAGGGGTCACATCCATGCCGGGCTCTGTCCCCTCCACAGTCCCCAGCCTGGGGGCGTATACCCAGGGGGGGGTACCACCGCCTTGCCCTGACATGCCCCTCCTAGCCTCTTCCCCAACCCTGCACCCCACTGCCCAGACCCCAGACCCACTCGAGTCCCAGATCTCAGCCCTCTCGGGGTCGCTTGGCTAAGCCGCCCAGGGTTCCCCTGTGTTTGCAGGGATGGGGACGATGCCTTTGGGAGGTCTCCAAGAGGCCTCAACAGCCAGGTTTGGGCTGAGAACAGGGTGGGGGCAATTAAGCTGAGACCCCACAAACTCATCGGGAAATCCCAGTGCTTTCCCTCCTCTGCTCCTCCACCAGCTGGGTGGGATAGAAAGGGCGGCTGTTCCTCCCCCAGTTTGCAGTGGGGAACTGGTCCCACAGACAGCCAGCTCTGCCTCGAGCCCCTCTGCTCCCCACAGCTGCGACCCACCTTGGGGTGAAGTTTGCTGATGTCATGTCTCCGCTCGGAGAGGTTGAAAAGCTTCAGGGAAGAGGAAACACAGAGTGAGGGGACACCTTCCTCCCTCGCTGCCACCGCCCAAGTCTTCCTCACCTCAAAGCCTCCCCCAAATCCCCCCCATGAGAGGCTTCCCCAAACACATTAACCCGAGTAACACCTTGCCGTGAGGCAACACAATGGCCAAAAACTCCCAGGGGGTCCAAAAGTGACTGGAAAGCTTCAAGGATCCATCCGTCTTAGTGCAAAGACCCTTCTCACCAGAGTTGAGCCCAGCCAAAGGCAAGGATGCAGCACCCATCCCCTGCAGCACCCCAGCCCCAGGACCTGAGCACTCCAGCCCCTTCCCCAGCCTGGAGGGGACCCGGCCGCGTCCCTCACCACGTAGTTGTCCCCATGCTTGGACTTCAGCATGTGGGCCACCTCACGGAGATTGCTGCAGAAGCTCTGCTCCTCAGCCGCGCTGGGGTAGGAGACGGCGATGATCCGCTCCGTGATGTACACCAGGTCCAGCTCGCAGCTGCTCTCCATGGCCGTGGTCAGGCTCATGCTCCTGGGCAAGGGAGGGGACCACCATCAGGATGTGGTGTGGGGAGGGGACATGGTGACCCTTCGCCCCCCCTGCTTGCCCCTGGGGTCAAGCAAGACAGGCTGGGACACGTGGGAATGCAGCAGCAGGGCTGGCCACAGCCTTTCCCCTGCTCCCAGCCGCGTTGGGGTGTCTTGGGGACCCCAAGTTGGGGATGGGGGGTTATAACCCCTGTGTCTTCTCCACGGAGAGCATCTCCCAGCCATAGCACAGCTGGAGAAGCAAAGTGTTGGAGGGGCAGGGGAAGGTTCAAGCAGGGTAGAGATGGTCATCAGAAGGGGAAACTGAGGCACCTACCTGGAAGTTTTGCGGCGTGACTGCCCACTCCTGGGGGATTTTGTGGCATCCTAAAGAATCCGAGAGGAAAAGTGAGTTACCGCCATGACCCAGTCCACAGCCAGCACTGGGGTCCGGCTAGAGCCAGCGCGTCCCACCCGCACCACACTGTGCTGCGCACTGTAACACCCCCAAAACATCACTGCCTCCAAATCCCACCCCCTGAGCATCCTGGTGGCACCAAACACGCCCAACAGCACCGTCATCCCACCACCACAGTCACAAGCAAAACCCATCTCTTGCAACCCCAGCACGGCTGGGACCAGCCGCCACGGGCACTGCAGGGCCAATGCCTTGGCACAGGGTCCCAGAGGACCATTGAGGAGGGTGCTGCGGGTGGGGAGACAGTCTCAGGCATGTCACAAGTCCCTCCGTTCTCAGCCGGGCTGCGGGCACACACCTGGCAGGACAGAGTGGCTTTGGCCCTGCCCGGGGCAGGGGCAGTTTTGCTGCCCGAGCGGCGGCGAGGAGCCAGCCAGGCACGACAGTTTGCTTTGGCCCTTGCTCCGCAGAGCCGAACGCCGGGAGGAAATGTTTGAGCTCTCGGAGCAGGAAACTTCTATTTATGCATGTTCTCCGGCCTCAAGAATTTCATCTGCAGCCGGTTTGCTCGGTGACTTCGTGACCTCAGCCGAAAAACAAAGCAGGGTTTCCAAAAAAAACCGCTAAGGAAAAACACACTCACACCTCATTAGTTTTAGTATCTCCAACTAACAAGAAGAAGTCATTTAAAGACTCATCTCGTGCAGGCAGCACGTCCCAAGCCCCCGGAAGGATCCAGAAACAAGAGATGCACCCTGCAGCCAGCTCCCGAGATGCCCCTTTTGTCCCTGGAGCTTCGGGACCTGCTGCCACCCTCCTCGGGGCTGCAGCATCCCACAGCCGGCACACCAGAGGTGACGGGACAAGGTGGGAACGGTTTCCCCAGCGCCCTTCACCCACCATCTCCCACCCAGCACAGTCCCGGGGCTGCTCCCGTGGGCAGCCGGTGTCATCCTCCATCAGCCTCACGTCCCCCTTTCAAGGTCAGGTTGCCCAGCAGAGCGGAGCCGGCATCAGCAGCCCATGGGGTCTGGGGATGACAGTGGCTCCCCCCTGAGCTGAAGCCACTCCAGGACGCAGCAGCCCCATCCGAGCACCCAGGGGTGCGTGGGCAGCAGTAACAATCCCCCCACCCTCCCCCAGGTTGTCCCCAGGGCCTCCCCAAATCTCCTGCTCACCCCAGAAACACCCCACGCACACACCCCCCCAGCATTGCTGGAGGCAAAGAAGGAGTTAAAACGCAGCAAAAAGGGAGGTAAAACCTTCCCTGGGCAGAGTCATGGTGCGTGGAGCAAGCTTGAACCCCAGCGTGGGCTTGTCCCTGTGTCACCCACTGGTGACCAGGAGGGGACCCCCACCACAGGCTCTGCTCTGCCCCAAACCTTCAGAGCAGGAGACATCTGGGGTCCCCCACCCACACCTGCCATCGAGGGGAGCCCCAGCAGCCCCTGTCACCCCACCCGGCCACAGCAGCCTCCCAAACCACAGCCTTGACTAGCAGAGGAGCTGCCATGGGGCAACCGGGACTCACCGCCCCTCTCCCAGTTGGGGAAACTGAGGCACGGGAGCACGAGCGAGGTGGCGACACCAGATCCCCTCTCCCTCTCCATACCTTGGCCGCAGCGAGACCCTTGCTAATCCACTTCCAGGGCATGGTGGCTTCACTCCTGGCACCCTCCCGGCCCAGGGGAGCGGGTGCCCGTGCCCAGGGCCCTCCAGCGTCCCTCACGCCGGCAGGAGCGCCCCGGCTCTGCCCTGCTCCCCCCCCCGCCCCAAACTAACCGCAGCCGCACTGCCGTCTGTGCCGCCAGCCCCTGCACGAGGAAGAGTCAGCCCGCGATCAGCTGATAGGAGCAAGCGCTGGCGTTATTAAACACTCCTGCCCACTGCCAGGCTAGGAGACCCTGCAAAGGTCCCCTCTGGAGCAGAGACCCCAGCAAAGCCAGTATGTCCCAGTCCAGCCCAGCACAGGGCAGGCTGGTCCCAGCCACCTTGGGTTGAAGAACCCCCTGCCTGCCCCATGGAGCATCTGCCTCCCAGCCTCAGGCTGGCTCAGCCGCTTCCGAAACCCGCAGGTTTCTGCCTGGAAAGGGTGATCTGAGGTACAAGAAAGGATGCAGAAATACCAGGAAATTTCCCCAAAAGCGAGCGAAGCCAGCAAAGGGGACTCCTGACTATCGCACTGGAATTTTCCAGCTGCGGAGGCTCTTTCTCCAGTTCAGAGAGGGATTAGCGACACATCCTGAACAACCAAAGGGATGGGGCAAAACTGGCTCCCGGGTGAGGAAGGCTTTCACCCTCTTCCTCATGGGAACCATGCCACCTCCATCCCTCGAGTCCCAGCCCGGGCGCACAGGGAGGCCGGCGAGCTGGCTGCGGACGGGGGGAAGCCGTCCGCGTTGATTTTGGCTGGGCGTTTGTCTACACTGTCTTAGCAATTTCATGTCCACAGATTAAATAACATATCCCCGGCTCCGGGACAGGAAAGCCGGCTTTGTGGCAAAAGCCATGCCCCCCCCTCCGCTGGGCTCCGCCACCATCTCTCTGCCACCAACCCTGGGCACCTCGCTTGGCTTTTGGCACGGCCATCATCTACCTTGGCTGGCAGGGAGGGAGGGCTTGGGGTGTCCCAGGGATGGAGGGGAACCACAGGGGCATCCCAGGCTGAGGGATTTTGGCTTCAGGCGGTGGGGCTTGCGGCAATGGGACAGGCACAAGCGACCCCCTGGAAGGTCTCGAGGCAGAGGCCAGCCTCTGCGGCTGGTAGCACTTACCAGGACATCTACCTGCTTCGTGATGCTCTCCCCTGGGGACGGCTGCAGGCAGGCAGGCAGAAGGAAAGGGAGGATGAGAAAAAGGCAAAGCGAGAGAGAAGGAGAGAGAGAATGAGAGAAGAGACACACACGCAGAGCAGGGGCCGGGGTCAAAAGTTCCCCCCTAGCTATTTCTGGCCCTTCCTAGGAAATGCACTGCGGTCCCACTTCCTTCCCTGCCGGCCAATG